CTCAGTGTGTGGAGGCAGTTTTCCATCATCTGAGCTTCTTTTGTCAGTGAGTTGTTCTCCTCCTTTTCCCAGAGAGACAAGTAATGGCCAAATTTCTAATCCAAAACTAAACTAATCAGGGGATAAAATGCTAAAACAAAACAGGAGTTAATTTTTTATTTTGGCAAGAACTAAACTAAGATGAAAGACGAAAACAAAACAGGAGTTCACATTTTTTTTGCAATGTCCATTAAAAAAAATTAGGTTTTGAGTCTCTTTTTAAGACTTTCCTCAGTGTGTGGAGGCAGTTTTCCATCATCTGATTTTCTCTTGTCAGTGAGTTTTTCTCCTCCTTTTCCCAGAGAGACGAGTAACGGCCAAATTTCTAGTCCAAAAATAAACTAATCAGGGGATAAAAGACGAAAACGAAACAGGAGTTAACTTTTTTTTTTCTTTTGGCAATGTCCATTAAAAAAAGGAGGTTTTGAGTCTCTTTCTAAGACTTTCCTCAGTGTGTGGAGGCAGTTTTCTGAGCTTCTCTCATCAGTGAGTTTTCCTCCTTTTCCCAAAGAGACGAGTCCGGGAAAGTAACGGCCAAATTTCTAATCCAAAACTAAGCTAATCAGGGGATAAAAGGCGAAAACGAAACTTTTTTCATTAACTTTTTTTTTTTGCAATGTCCATTAAAAAAAGGAAGTTTCTTTTTAAGACTTTCCTCAGTGTGTGGAGGCAGTTTTCCATCATCTGAGCTTCTCTTGTCAGTAAGTTGTTTTCCTCCTCTTCCCAGAGAGACATTAGGAAGAGCAGGAGGTGCTTACAGATCCCTTCGTTTTGACGTTTCAGCCTTTTTAACCCAGAAACAGCGTGCAGGCTGATGCTTTGGCTTCTGATTGTCCAGATGATGCTAACTATCCTCCCCCCCCTCGGCCCCCCCCCCGTCCCCCCCCCCCCCCGTCTTGCTCGGCCCGGGACCAGCTGGCGTTGACTTTGGGCGCGTTGAATTCGGACGCCCCCCGCAGCAGCCGGGACTCCCTGCACTGCTCCAGCGGGTACAGCACCCAGACCACCACCCCCTCCTGCTCCGAGGACACCATCCACACGCACGGTGAGGACCCCGAGGACCCGCCGGCTGCCCGGGCGTCCGCCTGACCGCAACTCCTCTGTGTTTCCTTTGTTTTTTTTCTGGTGTTTGTCGGCGTAAATCCGACAGCGTTCGCCTGGTTTCTTTCCCCTCGTCCCGGTGTCTTTCGGCCCCGTCCGCCTCTGTTGTTCTCCTTTGGGTTGTTTAGTTTTTCTTTGTTAAACTTCCTTCCTTCTCTTCCAGCTGTAAGGAGAGATCCTTCCATCTATGGTAGGTCTCTGACTGTCCGTCCGTCTGTCTGTCTGTCCGTCTGCCTGTCGGGTTCAGTGGCTGACTGCATGCCATCCCTCCTGCATCCGACGCTAAATAAAACCCTTTTTAATCATTCTGGGGATGATCGTTTGCTACTCTTGTTGGCTGAAATAATAAAAGATAGATCCATAAAGTATCTAAATGGCTAGATAACTGCATCTATATAAGTGCTACTAAAACAAATAACATGAACACATATGCATTTGTTCTTACTGAAAGATTTTGTTTATTTCTAATAGTTTCCAGGAAGTGATGTGCATCTCTTTTTAACTTAACCTGCTTGCATGTTCCCTGAGTTTCTATATTAACTCATTTGCATGCCAGCCATTTTCAGAACAGAGTCCCATACTGCCTGCGTTTTTTTAGCATTTTGACTGATTTTTCAAGAGCCACAGAATAGTTTGTGCGTTGACTATGTAAACACCGAACACACCAAAAGAAAGAGTAGACTCTCTTCTTTCATCAGGAAAAAAAAATTATTTCTACCTTATTCCGTTCTTCCTCGACTTGCGTCTCACCGGCGACATGTTCTCTCATAGCGAACCGTTACCTTTTTCTTATTTGCCCCCAGTCTATGCTCATCTCCCATCAAAAGTGGCACTGCCACCAATAAGGGCAGTTTGTTACTACATACTCTGTCTAGAAGCCTGATATTTACGGACAAGCTTTAGCAGATCGTCCCCCAGCCACTCTCGTTGAAAAACATAAAAGACGTCTATAGACGTCTTTGGCAGCCAATGAGTTAATGATGTATTCCCTAAATTTGTCCTCACAAACACAAGTTGAGCTCACCGGTGATGTTTTCGGCTTCTGTCAGCCGCGTGTCTGACGTGGAAACAGTCCAAAAGTGACGTTTTCTGTTCTCTTTCCCCCCCCCCCTCTGCAGTGGACTACGAGTCCATCTCTCTCCACGGCGACGGCGACTCCATCTCCTTCCACCACCTGCATCTCGGCAGCGGCCAGTCCGACTTCGACAAGTCCTCCACCATCCCGCGGAACTCCGACCTCAGATACCAGTACCGGGAGTTCGCCCAGTCCAAGCGGCCCTCCTCCACCGTCAGCCTGCTGGCCGAGGGCGTTTCCGGGCGCCCGCCGCCGTCGCACACGGCCACCATCCGCCGCAAGCCCTCGTCCAAGCCCGCCTACCGCCGGGGCACCATCAGCGGGGGGGTCCCCATCCCCATCTGCACCCCGCAGGTGCCCCTCACGGCCCTGGCGGGAGCCGGGGGCAGCGAGGAGAACGTCTTCGCGGCGCCCCCCGCTGGCGGAGGCGGTCTGGGCCACAGCAAGCTGTGCGCCTCCACCCAGAGCCTCAGCGCGCTGCCCCCCCCCTCGCCCTACTACCAGTTCATCCCGGGCCAGATGCCCGTCCCCGTGCCCGCGCCCGCCGGCCCCGCCCGGCCCCCCGAGGGCGGCAGCGCCAAGCAGCAGCAGCAGAGACAGTACCTGCAGCAGCTGCAATCTGCCCAGCAACAGCAGCAGCAGCAACGCAGCCAACTACAGCAGCTGCAGCAGCAACAGCTGCATCAAAATCAGCATCAACAACAGCTAAATCAGCAGCTGCATCATAATCAACATCAACAGCAGCTAAATCAACAACAGCAGCTGCAGAATCAACAACAGCTGCAGCATCCGCACCAACAGCTGCAAAATCCGCATCAACAGCTGCAGAATCAGCTGCAGAACCCGCATCAACAGCAACAAAATCAACAACAACAGCTGCAAAATCCGCAGCAACTGCAGAATCCGCACCAACAGCTGCAGAATCTGCAGCAGCTGCATCAAAATCAACATCAACAGCTGCAAAATCCGCATCAGCAGCTGCAGCATCAACAGCTGCAGAATCAGCAGCATCAAATGCAGCAATCTGCGCAGCAACTCAACCACCTGCAGCTGCAGCAGCAACGCAGCGAATTACAGCAGCTGCAGCATCCGGATCCGCATCATCAACAGCATCATCATCAGGAGCAGCAGAGGTTGTTGCAGCAGCTGCATCAGGCCGCCGCCCCCCCGGCGGAGCCCCCCCCCCCGCGCCCCAACCCCCAGCCCCGCCCCCCCCCCCGACCACGCCCCCCAGGAGGCGGCAGGAGGAGGAGGAGACATGCTGACGCTCATCAGGAAGGTGACGCTCAGAAGGACCACCACCAACGACCGCTCCGCCCCCCTGCTGCCCCCGCCGGCCAATCACAAATGAGCACCGACCCCTGTGCAGCAGCCATTACGTTTACGAGCTGAGCACGCTGTGTCTGCTCAGAGCCCCGGAAACGCACCGGACCTTTACCGACTGTACAAAGAGACCGAACGTTAGCTGGAATTCAGATTTAGATTTTTTATGATTCAAGATTCCCTTTAACTCCCCGTTTAACTCTCTGCCTCCAGCCTCTCCGTCTCTGTTGCCGTTTGCGTTTTGATGCTGGGTAAAGCTGTTGCATGAGTCAGTCCTCCGACTGTTCAGGCCGGGGTGTGTTTGATATTTACCTAAAATGTCCACAAGGGTGGGGTTTATTAGCGAGTCCCAAAACTCCAGCGTGAGCCGGTTGAACCGTGACGTGAGGAGTTTTTCTTTATTGGTTATCGTGACGGCTGTGTGGTTCCGCCGTATTTAAAGTGAGTTCATGTCACCTCAAAGCGTCCAAACAGATCCAAACGCTCTGCAGGGTGTAAATATCAGAGCTAAAGGAGCCGTGGGAGACACCGGGGGGGGGGGCAGATCTCCAACATAGCTGGCTATGGCGGGCGGACCTGCTGGTTTCAGCGTTTAAAGGGGGAAAACCAGACGGCTCGATATAACCGGGAGTCTGACCCACACAGGATCACAGCCTCTGACTGTTATTTTAGGAAAACATTTGCTTTTTATATTAGAAAATAAATTCCGATCATTTTTAATAGACATTTACTTCCTAGAGGAGAAACTGCCTGTCATTTGTCAAGCCCATACTTAAACTACACGCTTATTGGTCAGCTTGTATATAAAAGATGGCCCTCCACTTAGCTGTAAGAGTAGTACATCTTTATTTTCTGATTTCTGATATTATCTGGAATTATGTTTGGTATAAATCACCAGCCCCCCCGATCACAACGAGCCAACAGCACAGTTTTTATAAATAAGTCTGCCTCATTGGCACTTCTTTACCATTTACCTGATGAGGTGTTCTGCCACTGGCCACCAGGGGGCGACAGAGGGCTTCACTCAGTTTTTATGGTTAATTCACCAGCAGTCTCTATTTCAATTTCCACATCTTTAAGATTTCTTAAACGACAAGTTCTTATTTCATTTATCCTCTTTAGTACTTAACATCTTTAAAATGAACCTGTCAAATGAAGAAGTTCATCCAGGAATATTCCTCCCTACTAGCATTAAAATTCATAACCCTTCATTTGTACACATTCAGCCAAGTTTCCATTTTTCTTAAAAAGGTCAAAATCTTCTAAAAAGCCCTGAGCTGGATCACTGAAAATCTCCGTTTTAGCTGGAAAACTAGAACAATTTAAAGTTTGTTTTTTGTTGTTGTGACCGTTAAGCAGCATTTAGTCCACAACAACGAGCACGGAACTTTGAATTTGACTATTTATCTAAAAAGTTCGCATCAGTCAGAATAGCTGGTTCTATTTTGGATCCTGTTCTTTCTTATTTTCAATTCAGACCTGCTCATGTTAATTTTTTTCCCTCCCATTTTATCACTTAAGTTGATTGAGCTGCTTTTTTTTGGTGTCGGCTGGATGTGAGTTTTCCCTTTTTCGGGCTAAATTTCGAACTGGAAATGGGGAATTGTCGGCCCTCTGGCCCAGAATCGAGGTTATAAACTGGACTTTAGGACATAGATGTGTGACCTGATTTGTGGAGCTGTCGGGGACTGAAACGGGAGGTCTGATTCCCAAACGTGGATCCGTGGAGGGAGGAAGACGTGGTCTTACTGCTTAGCTACTCTTCTCTGTGCTCAGTTCTCCGTTTCCTGGACTCCGGGCGGCTTTTCCCACACACTTTCTCACCCTTTCGCTGAGAAAAACAGACCCAGGGACCAGTTGCATGCTGGGAAATGCAGTCTCCGGGCAGCCGGGGACCGTTCGAGCGTCCCGGGGTTCGTTTTTTTTTGTGTATATTAGCTCTCTCTGAATCTTCAAATGAAAGTGTACGTACACATATCCTGATTGTATTTTTTTTTTTTTTTCGATCTGTCGAGGACGTGATCCCTCCTCCGTCGCTGGTATTTTTGTAGAAAAAGTTTTAAGAAGGAAACCCAGCTCACTTCCTGAAACGGAGAAGACGCGGGGGGGGACGTGAACCGGCAGAATGTAGACAAAGTTTTGTTCATCTTTTGACATCCACTGTGGGATTAATGATAAAAAAAAAAAATGAGAACGATGAAAGTCGACTCTTGCTTGTTTTATTTGCTGAGATTTGTTTCAACAGGATTTCTCACATAAAATCAAGACGTTTGACTTTTTTTTAGTAACCTAATATGGGAAAGTTTTTTTAAAAACAGGTCAAAATCCATGTATCTGCTTGTGTTATGGACCTATTTGACTAAAACTGGCAGAAAACCGGAATTCCAAAGTGTTTGGAAAGGTGAATAACAAAATACAAAATACAGTAAGAGTAAGAGTAAGAAAAGAAATCAAAATATTTTGAAGCTGTGTATGTGAGGCTTGTGGATTCAGACACGTGAGGAAATGGGGGCTTTGCTACCATCAAAAGGAGGCTGCAACATCATCCGATTTTGTATTTTAATCGTCAGAAATGGTTCCTCGTTTAATCGAATCACAGGGTTTTACCTCCTCGGATCTATGAAAGTCTCCTGTTATGGAGGAATGGGGCTGGTTTTAGTTTCTTGATACCATCATCTCTGATTCCATCCATTTAGAAATCGTATCCATCAAATAACATCCAATTAATTCCATCAGGCAAAAGTTGCCCTCAGCCAAGCATCCCAAACATCTCTATGAAGTTCATGGAAGCCTATAAAAAGTAGGAAATATCACACTTCAGTCCAGTTTTTTTTTTTTTACAGGAAAATGTGGTTTAAAGTCAAAATGCAAACTTCTAAAACACAGAAGCAAAGAAATGATGATTTAACTGGATAAAAGGGGCGTGCGTTTCAAATGAAATTGAACGAAAAGTGACAACATTTAAAGAGAGACCGAGTTAAATATCTTTGAAATGGAAAGGGGCCTGAAGCTTTGGATTCCTCTCCGAATTTAACAGGGAGCCAATCAGAAGAAGCTAAAACAGGAGAAACGTTATCTCTGCCGGTGTTCGGGGCGTTTTGGGACAGCTGGATGCTCATTTTTGGGGCTTTATGTGTGTTTTGGGTGTTTTTTGGGGTCATTTTGACATAAACAGACCTGTGTGTAAACTGTTGTGCCAGATTTATCGGCCCGGAGAGTTATTTTCCATCTGACTCACACATGCGCGCGCAGAGGCGGCCTAACCAACCTCCAGGAAGTAGCCCGAGCCCAGCCGGTGGGCCTCCAGAAGCCAAAGGAGCCACAAGTACACAGAAAAGACGAGTTTCTTTTCCCAAAAGGGGGGCTGGTGACCCGGTTTCTGCCCGAGTTATCAGCTCTTTTTACACATACGTCTAAAAACTATCGGTTTGATTCCTTCATTCCAGAGAAGACGAGATAACACATTTGCTTCTGGGCCTCCGGCAGCTTTGGTTTCCGGCTCCTATTGAAGCTCCAGGGATGGAGGACTTGTTGGCATTCTGCAAATCCATCCGATTGGCCGATTGGCTTCCCTCCAGTCGGCCAATGAGTCTTCTCACGGCGACCGAGAGACAAACAGCAGAGGTGGAAAAAAGGTAAACGTAACTTCTAAAATATCTGGAATATGATGCTCCTGGGAGATAAAAACATAAGTTTTATTCATTTTACACGCTGCACACTGCAAATGAACGGCAGATATTTAAAGCGTCCGTAACAAATGGGCCAAAAGCTCTCAGTTAAGACAATAGGATATTAATAAAAAGGACCAATAGGGGCTTCTGTACGGTGAAATCTTATCGAAAATTAACTAAATGCAGCAAATGAACAGAAGAGAAATCGAATCAAGGTGTGAGGACTCTTTCTGTGTATCTCTTTGTTCCCACAGGAAGGATTTATGAATGATTTATTAATCCCGTCCCACCTCTGCTAAATAACAGGCTAAAAACTGTTTAATCTGAGTTGATTTGTTACAAACATACAGTGGGGGAAATAAGTATTTGACCCCTTGCTGATTTTGCAGGTTTGCCCACTTACAAAGAATGCTTCTTTTTCTTCATCAGATGGTTATCAATTTTTATAAATTCATATGATGTGATTTTTTCTGGAATTTTCTTTGGGATTCTGTCTTTCACTGTTAGAATGTACATATTATTAAAGTTATAGATCGTTGCATTATTTGTAAGTGGGCAAACCTGCAAAATCAGCAAGGGGCCAAATACTTATTTCCCCCACTGTATGTTATATATGTGACTTTTTTACTCAATATTTGTCTTGATCTCCACATCTGTCAAACTGGTTCCGATCACTCCTGATTTATTTGTTGAATCACAC